GAGGGGGAGGGTTAAGTGAAAGCAAGTAGATGCATTGAAAAGGGTGTACTCTATACTTTAATGATTTCTATGTTCAATGACTTTTTTCTCAAGATTTCGTGTTAATCTGCAAAACTGAATAATTAATTAAACTTAATTCAGAGAGAAATTAAATCATGTTTTGATTTGAAAGAACGGAGTTGGCTGAGGAAGGGGGCGGGGGGGGGGATATAACCAAAATACTTAATGTTTGAAAAAAATGCATTGATTCTTAAACCAAGCACCATGGCAGTTTGTACATCGTTTAGAGGATGCCACGGGGTTCATATTTACCAGATTTTATATTTATCATTTGTTGAGACATGTAAAAAAACAATTTGTAAAATTGTGAAGTTTATTATTTATTTTATGTAAACTTAAAGATATTTTAATTATTCTAATTTAAAAAGGGTTAAATTCCTACAATCTCCTTCTTTACAAAATTGTGACTATTAAAGTACTAAAGGAAAACTACAATAAAAAACAGTAAATTTTGTAATGGAAAAACTAGAATATCTAATTCACAACACAAAGGTTTAAAGGGAACCCTTTTGAATTGAACATGAAGGTTGAAGCTCACTAGAAATTACGTTTACAGTCCCTTTAATCAATTATTCAATTCGTCCTTAATCATTTTCTCCTCGAAATATCTATCAATATATAATATAAATATATTATATTGAATATACATATGCTAGGTATTGAATATAAAATATAAATATATTGTATTGAATATACATATGCTAGGTATTGAATATATAATTTAAATTTATTGTCTTGAATATACATATGCTAAATATTGAAAATATAGTTTAAATATATTGTATTGAATATACATATGCTAGGTATTGATTATATAATATAAATATATTGCATTGAATAAACATATGCTTGGTATTGAATATATAATATAAATATATTGTATTCAATATACATATGGTAGGTGTTGAATATACATATGCTAGGTATTGAATATATAATATAAATATATTGTATTGCATATACATATGCTAGGTATTGAATATATAATTTAAATATATTGTATTGAATATATAATATAAATATATTGTATTGAATATACATATGCTAGGTATTGAATATAAAATATAAATATATTGTATTGAATATACATATGTTAGGTATTGAATAAATTCTAATATGAAAATTTGAATGCTGACAAAACATAAAGGATGAACATAATCTTTGTTTCAAACATTCAAATATTGAAAAATGTTTTATTTTAAGACAAAATCCATTTGGTAAGCTGAAAAAAATCTTTAATCTGTAAAGTTTGAAAATCCATTAGGGAAGCTGAAAAAAATCTTTAATCTGTAAAGTTTGAAAATCCATTAGGGAAGATGGATAAAAATCTTTAATCTGTAAAGTTTGAAAATCCACTAGGGAAGATGAAAAAAATCTTTAATCTGTAAAGTTTAAAAAATCCCCTAGGGAAGATGGAAAAAATCTTTAATCTATAAAAGTTTGAAAATCTACTAGGGAAGATGAAAAAAATCTGTGCTCTGTTAAAGTTTGAAAATGAACTAGGGAAGATGAAAAAATGTTTGATCGGAAAAAGTTTGAATACCCACTAGGGAAGATGAAAAAAAAAATCTTTGTTCTGTAAAAAATTTAAAAATCCACAAGAGAAGATGAAAAAAATCTTTAATCTGTACAAGTTTGAAAATCCACTAGGGAAGATGAAAAAATCTTTGATATCTTCAATTGTTATCGTAATTTGTATGTTAACGATGCAACTATTTCTAGAAAATGCTTTTGCATTGAAGCTTTAAATGGAATTAGTGTTTACTTCAGACAAAAAGAAATCCTTTGATAGTAAATTAAGTTCATTCTTCTAGAAAATTGATAAATTATATGTTTTATGTGTTAAAGAAGATATTTGCCCAACAAACCTGACGGATCTTTAGATTTAAAACCATATCTGGACAAATCTAAATAATATAAAAGGAAACCCTTTTTCCTAAGTATTCAGATAAAAATTATTCATTTATTTTCTTTTTTTAAATTTTACGCTGTTAAAAAATTTAGCGGACCATTTATTTGATAACTGTTTCAAATCCTCTCTTTAAAATTTTTTGGTCAGGAATACAAATAAAATAAAAATAATGTATTTATTTAACCCTATCATTCAACTTGGATCGAAAAAAAATCAATTTAATTCCAAACAAATCATTCGGATATTACAACCAATAATCATTGATAATTTTTGGATGCATTCGTATATAGTTGATATTTCATAATATTTTTTGTATACATGTATTCTTGTTTCGAGGATTTTTGATAATGAAGACGACATTTTCATATTTCCCAGGAATGTTTGAAAATCCAGTTCCAGCGAATTATTAATTTAATAAAGCAAATCAAAAAATATTATGAAATATTAACGATATACAAATGCGTCGAAAAATAATCGATGACTATTGGTTGTAATATCTGAATGATTTGCTTGGTTAATTAAATTAATTATTTTACGATCCCAGTTGAATATTGCAACTTTCTTCAGCGTGAGTCGTTTTTAACAATTTTCTCCTTAAAGACGCAACAGATTAGTAGCGATCAAAGGCGCTTATTTTTCGCCGTTAGCCAATACCCCCTTCCATTTTTCGCGAACACTCCCTTTAAGAAGAAAACAAACTCTAAATTTTGAAATAAAAAATTTTTTTAAAGGAAAAGATTTATTTAACATATAAAAAAGTTTGATAATTAAGACACTTTTGCTTTGTCAGAAACTGCATAACCAAAATACCCTGAATGTTTGAAACATACCAAAAATCAATACCATTTCTATTGTCGGGAGAAGTAAAGAATGTCTCTTCTTTCTTAAAGTGAGAGTTCGCGAAAATGAAAGGGGGTCAAGCTGAATCCTTAAAATGAGGTAAATATGTCAAGAATATTTATTTTATTTTATATGATCTGAGTTTCACTTTTGATAGTATTTTCGAATATTTCTTGGAAAATATGAAAACATTGTCTTATAATTCACAAACGTTACAAGTTGTCATCATATAAAAATTAGAAATAACAACACATTTTAACTAGATTCAAATGAGCTAAATTAAATCTTGAATTTATTCATTGTAATCTTAAAGAATCAGTTTTAAATTGTATTGAAATATTTACAGTTTGAGTAGAATGACTCAACCAAGTGATTTTATATGGGCTGTACACTCCTCCATTTTCTCCTTATAGACGCTACAGATAGAATTAATGTTAGTAGTGATGGAATCCGACTTTTTTAGGATTCAGCCTGGCTCTAATTTTTTACGTGAACATTCCCTTTACAACATTTGTTTTCTGTAAGTTAGATTAAAGGTATAGCA